TTTACAAAAAATAACCATATTTCATGAACTAATACATTGTTCATTTTACAAAATCATAGCTTAGTGCAAAAAAATGTAAATTCTTTAGATGCAATAATGTTTTCATGTGTGATTGCAATTAGCAAACAGATTTTGACAGCATTAGTAACTACACAGTTACCTTTAAACAAAAGAAGATGCAGCATAACATCAAATACTCTCAGTTCATCTTGGACTTGAACACAGACGCTACTATCCTCCACAATGGTGACACAAAAACCGTTTTGCTGTTTTTCTTTCTTTTTTTTTCATTTTTAGATTTTACGGAAAAATACCAGCAGCTGTGGTTGCCAGTAATCTGCTGTTTTTAACATTCATAAATTCAGTTTACAGAATATTTCTGTTAAAAGCACATTCAACAGTCTGTATTTTTTATCGATCTCCACTGCAAATTTTAGATTTGGTAGATTTAACTACCTTAGAGTTAAAATTAACACTCCCTCAGTGTTTATATGGGAACCACTATAAGTGTTAAAATAACATTTTTGAAAGTGTTAAAATTTTTAACAACTAGAGTGTTAATTAGCAAACTCTTATTGTGTAAAATATCTGTTAAATGTATGTCAAAATACTGGCAGCAGTGGTTGCCAGTAATCTGCTGTTTTCAACATTTTACATTCGTAAATTCAGTTTCCAGAATATTTCTGTTAAAAACAAATCCCATAGTCTGTATTTTTCATTCGAACACACTTAAGCCTTAAATTCCAGACCAAAATCCTAACTAGTGTCCTCACTACAGAGGGCTGAACACTCAGACAGTGATGAAGTTAATGAGACAATTAAGTGTCTAATTAAAGGAGGATTGAGAATTATTGATGAACAACTGTTAACAGGCAGAATCACTGAAGGAAAGAAAAACACAAACTAAAACCAAAGATGAAACAACTGAGAAAAAAAAACTCTAAATAAAATAATAATCAATAAAAATAAAACAAATTACACAATAAAAAATGTTATTTTTCAACATCTTTAAAAAAAAACTCATCACATTAAACAACTTATCATGGAGCTTCACCTATTACTGACCTTTGACTTTATTTCTGTCATGTGAACAAAAGCTCTTAATAAAATTTCTGTTGTTCATTTAAAGTCACCATGATGGAGGACAGAGTCTGCTTTAGTCAAGCTCTTCAACTTCTCACTGTTAATGTCTTTTATTTTGGCTGCTATAGTTAGTGTTAATCACACTATTTATACATACAGCATGGAAAGCCAAAAGAAAATTAAGTGTCAGTCTGAAGAGATTATTTATGATATCGTAGCCATCCTTTCCTGCTTGTTTTATAATTCAGTATCTTATTAATTATGTGTGAGGAATGAATAAAATACATAATGAAACCACAGAAGCTCCAATAATTGACTTTATAACAGGTTTAAAAACACAATTTACAATAAGAATGTTTGATCTACAGCAGAACTTAAAAACACCCAGACATCAACAATTAGTCTTTGAATCTCAATGATGGTGAGAAACGAAAAAATAAAAATCAATTAAAAAAAACACTCTACTGAAATATCACCTCCCAAAAACAACACAAAATAAAGGAAAAGAAAGAGATTGTAAGAACATAAAGCTGCATAATTTATTCTTGCTGCAATGCATGCTGGGAGCTTTGTACTATGCTGGCACCCAGCATGCATTGCGGCATGAACTATGCAGCTTTTTTTTTTTTTTAGCAACCACGGTTGAGGTTCATGTCCTGATTCTTGATGCCTGTGTGTCATAAAGAGTTAGCTGGTGCTTGAATGTTTAGTGCATGACACTCTAATTATTAATTGCATCCTAATTGATTGTTGAATCCTCTATGAAGAGCAGCAGACTGCCAGTAGTATTGTCCCATGCAGTTTTAATATAACTATATTTGCATATCTTTATGAATCAACTTAATAAACACCAGAAATTAAATCTATAATAATTAAGCGTAAACAGTATAGTTTCTCTTGACCTTTCTTGCTATGATTGATGAGTTTTAGAAACACAGCTATAACAGACAGAGAAACATTAGGATATGAGTAAAGCTTCAAGAGCTCAAATAAGCAGCCTCTGATCTCCATGATGGTGAGGTCAAATGAAATATTTTTAATAAAAAAAATATAAACCTCTGTTCATTGTCAAATATTCTTACAGAAAATCAGTGAAGCTGCTTATGCTATTATTTAATGGAGTTGTTTAATTCTCTGTTTTAATTCAGTTGGTTTGGTGTGAGGCTTTGTCTGTAGATTTATTTCTTATTCCTTCAGTGATTGTGCTTGTTAACAGCAGGTGTTCAACAGCAGGTGTCTGAATTCACTTATTTGTGGTCATTCACTCTGTCTAGTGGACTAAACTAATTGACTAATTTAAGGGCCAGGTGAATGAGGGTGTGGCGAGATCAGACACTCTGATTAGTTTCTTAAAAACAGGGGTTTTCTACAAAGGTAGATACATGTTACTCTGAATGACAAGGAGGCAAATCAGCTTCTAACGCCGAGAGGGTTATTTTACCTTTATCTACACTGTTAAAAATTGTCCCGTTAAAAAACAGTAAAATACTGGCAGCTGCAGTTGCCAGCAATGTACTGTTATTTTAGAGTATGTTGCTGTAAAAATACATGGACTACATTGATTTACACAATACTCAAGTGAACTCATTTTGCTCACTGAAAGCAACTGCCTCAACTTGGTCAACTGCTGAATGAGTTTATGAAGTAATGTGCTATATTAGAAGCATACTTATAATGATAACTTATTTTAGTTAATTAGAAAAGTTCGGTTTAACTCTAATGTCTTATTTTTCACAACAGCACACATACATGTAAATCTGGAATCACCAGAGAGATTCTGACTGCATCAGCAACTAAACAGCCGCTATCTTTAAATAGAGAAACATGCAGAATAACATCAGCAGCTCATTGTTCATCTTTAACTCATACACTGGCTCTACTCTCCTCCACAACGGTGACAGACAGAAGAAATTAGCTTCAGGTTTTACAGTAAAATCCTGTTTTTTCCTTGATTTAACAGTAATCTACTGGCAGCTGTGGTTGCCAGCAATATACTGTTTTTTTACAGTCTATTTCCGTAGTGTAAATTAACAGTATATTACTGTTAAAATACATTTTTACACTGTGTTTTTACCTCTCACACCTTTAACCCTTTAAACCCCAGAGCATATACTTCAGTTTTAATTGAAGTGTCCACACTACTGAGTGTTCAAGAAACATGGAGCAAAGCTGAAGTAAATTCATTAATTAACTGACTAATTAAATGATAATTGAGGATTAACAATGAATAAATGAAGAAATACTGAAGGGAAAAAACAAGAACAGAACATACAAAACTTTAGTCACAGCTTTATAATGAAATAACCTGAAGAACAACAAATGATTAAATCATTTAAATGATCAGCGGATGATTAAACAACTCTACAAACATCATCACCAGCTACACTTATTACTTAATACATGTATTTTTGTATAACATCTACTAAAGTTCTTCTTGAGAAAAAGTTAAAGTTTTACGTCACCATCATGGAGAACAGAGTTTGCTTTAGTTGGGCTCTTAGCTCAACTAAACATTTAACATTTATAAATCTTGGCTGCTGCAATTGTTAAGAACTTTGATTTAAAAGCTCTTTTGTTGTGGCAAGCCAGCCAAAAACCTAAATAAGATCTGGTGATGTTCATGTTGCTATTAAATGGCAGAGTCTCTTCTCATTTCGTATAATAAAATTTACTGCTCCTATTCAATGTTAAATCTATTGTTTTACATTATATGTCTTTATATGGCAATGATTTCTGGAAGTTTTTAAGAATATCTTGGACAATAACACTGCTCTATGGTGTAATTCGCACTCAAAGAGACATCAATAATCAGCATATGAACCTCAATAATGGTGACGACTAACAAAATTAACAGTTTAACTCACAAACAGGCAACTGAAAGTCTAAACATAAACAACAGCAGAATCGAACACAAATAAAGAAAACCATTAGACCATTATACAACATTTATTTATACCGCAATGCATGCTGGGATATTTGTACAGTGCCACTCCCAGCATGCATTGCAGCATGAAACATTTGAGATGTTACCATTGTTGACATACAAGGTCAGATTCATGAGGTCTGAGTGTGTATTTGTCATAACTGAACTGTTTTTGTTTGTTATTTCTTAACTGTTAAGTAATTACGGAGGTATCTTTTCTGTTTCCACTTCTCATTAATTAAATTAATACCTGCAACTAAGCATAAAATCTATTGCATGAGGCCCTTCCTCCAGATTTATATCAAAACATTTATCAGAACTAATTTCAGACAAATAGATTTCTCTATTTATTGACTTCCCAACTTTATTGCTATAGTACAAACGTTTTGTAAACTCTGTATTACAGCAGTTGGAAAGTCTTCTTAAATGTGTTCAAGGGTGAAGAGCCCAACTAAACCAGCCCCTCACTCCATTACGGTGACACAAAAAACACCTTAATTTCTGTTGGATCTCAATGAGAATAGTATGGAAGTCAAATCAGTCAGTATTAAGTGTGTTTCTGCTGTTGTTTGTGGAGTTGTTTAATGATCCTCTGCTGAGACTGAAGCTGTTTTATTTTATTTAATGTTGTAACTCAAGTCACTGTTTGTGTTTCTTGTTTATTTTCTTCAGTAATTGTAATTATTAACAGCAGGTGTTCATCAGTGTCTGAATTCACTCATTAGTGTTCATTAAAACTGTCAGGTGAAATATATTAGTTAACTAGTGTATGAAATAGTGAACAAGGACACAAAGTGTGATTTCAAACACAGACTTCAAAACATCGAATCTGAACTCTGTTAGCTCACAGTTTTCTGCAGTTGGTTACTTTCTCGAAGACAAAAATGTTACCCAGAAAGCACTGTTTTTAACAGAATATTAATGTTTTAGTGAAAAAACATTATTTTACCGTAGAATCTGACCGTTTTTTAACAGCAATTTTTTACAGTGTGGGTTTCCCATACACAGATTTATTTGTGGTAATGTGGGAGATTTCACACAAACGTATCTTGTTGTCTACAGAAAGTTTAATTGTCTTCATGAAGAAAACTTGTTTCTTTTCTCAAATCAGTCAATCAAAATAAAAGTGTAGTGTTTTGAAACCAAAGTTTTCATTTGTACCCACAACACTCAAGATTTCAACACTCAACACAATCAAGATTAAATCAAGTCAAAATCTCATAATCTGACACAAATCTGATCGGTGGTAGCTGGCAAATGGCATTGTGTAGTCTGAACAGGGCTTTAGGGAGTCTGCATCAGTGGCTCACTGTCATTGACTTATGGCGAGTTCACACCGCAAGAGTTTACCTGGACTTTCATTCGCCAACAAGTTTTGTGAAACTGCAGACAAAAGCCCAAAACTGGAGGCAAATCTGTGTTTGTTCACACGAGTGACATTTAAACAATGTGAATGATCAAAAACACAATCTAAGGGTGTAGGACAGTTTCTCCTCCCTAATCTTTCTAATTTTCTTTTCAGTGCCGACCATTTGATGGAAGTGTGCAATGTGCAAAAATATGGTTCTCGGTTCATTATAAAGTTGGAACTCTAACAACCTGGTGACCCATGATCTACACTACAAAAAAAAAATCTTCACCCCTCTTCAGTTATTGAGTTTAAATCTTCAGGTGTTCAAAGGGTTTCATTTCCAATAACTTGACATGTATTCAAGAGTTCACACTTGTTTGGCATGCTGTCCCGGGAGAGAGCCCTAAGCTCCGCTGGACAAGGGCTCAATTTTCAGGACTCTGCTCTCCATTGTGAAGCTTCATGTGAGTGTTGAGGCTTCTTTTATATTTAAAGCCCTTTCCACATTCATTGCATCTAAAACCATCCTCTCTTGAGTGAGTTTTCATGTGTTGCTTAATAGCGTCTTTGCGTGTGAGACTCTTTCCACACTGATCACATGTGAACACTATGGTTCCAGTGTGACCATTTGTGTGGTTCTTGAGGCTAGCTTTGGTTGTGAAGCTCTTTCCACACTGAGCACATGCAAACAGCTTCTCTCCGGTGTGAGTTTTTATGTGGTTATTGAGTGAGCTTTTACATGTAAAACTTTTACCACACTCTGAGCATATGTAAGGTTTCTCTCCAGTGTGAATCCTCATGTGGATCTCAAGCTCTTGTTTCCGAGCCAAACTTTTCCCACACTGTGTGCAAGTAATTTTTTTTCCTCCACTGTGAATTCTCATGTGGCCTTTAAGGTTGCCACTTTGCTTAAAACTCTTTCCACACTGTTGGCACGTGTAGGGCCTCTCTCCAGTGTGAATTCTCATGTGCACTGCAAAGTTTCCTGCATGATAGAAGGTTTGTTCACACTGTTGGCATGTGAACGGCCTCTCTCCAGTGTGAATTCTCATGTGGGTTTTTAAGCTTTTTTTTTGACCAAAGCTCCTTCCACACTGTTCACAAGTGTAAGGTTTCTCCCTAATGTGAACTCTCATGTGATCACCAAGGTTAAGCTTTTGAATGAAACTCTTTCTACACTGTTTACTTCTGAAATTACACTCAGATTTGGATTTCTGACTGCTGCATGAAGTCTTTTCCGTCAGTGTGGGTTTTTCATCAGCTGTTATTTCTTGGTGTTGCTCTTCCCTTTTATTCCATTGATGGGTCTCTTCTTTCAGCACCATCAGGTCTTTAAAAAAAAGAAAAGTGAACTTTAGTATGAAGGCACAAAGCAACAAGCATGAAATTGATGTTTCACCCAAAAATTAAAACAACCTAACCATTTACTCTCCGTCATGTGGTTTTAATAATTTCCTTTCTTCTGGAACAAAGTAAGCCAGCGTTATTTGTTCAGCAAAATCAAGAAACTCAAAGATTTAAAACCACCCGAGGGAGAGTAAATGGTGAGGCTATTTTCATTTCTGCGTTAACTATCCCTTTAAAGGGCTCCTATTATAAACCTTTTTTTACAAGATGTAATATAAGTCTTTAATTTTTCCAGAATGGGTCTAGGGTTTCGGCTCAAAATCAGATCATATACCTTGCAGAACATTTCATTTTGGGGTCAGAGGAAAACCAAGCTCTTTTTGTGCCTGTGGCTTTAAATGCAAATGATCAAATGCACTCGCTTTAGATTACTCATGTTGTGTTCCCTCATGTGTATCTTCCACTCAACATTTTTAACTTGTTTGGAAGACCTGGTTTAGACAAATCCTGCATGTTCATAGCAAGTGCACATAATTCATGCTCATATTAGTGAGTTTGCATTGTTGTATATCATCCGCTGTTTAAAATATATGCCGGATAAGTTGGTGGTTCATTCAATGAATAAACTTCTGCAAATGTTTAATGCCACATTTGCTGTAAACTTGAGTGATGAACACCCATGATTATTTTATAACCCCTAGGGGCTGTTTCATAAAAGTGGTTCAAAAAAGCGGGGATTAAAGTAAAAACCTGACTTTAGTGAGCCGAACTAAACGTCCACACTTTAATTGGTTCCATAACAGCAAGTTGAAGATCATTTGATGTAACTAATCTGAGATCAGCTGAAATATTCTAGATAACTACTCGTGCACGTAACTGTCATGAAACCCTGAAGATGCATCATTATGATTATGTTGTATGCTACCCTGGCAACTACAATGAAAGAAAGAGCTCTTAAACAAGACACCACAATGTTCACAGCGAGGGCATAGCATTTGATTTTTGAGTTCAAATATATAATAATTTAAACATAATCAAAAAGTACGGCTTGAAACAATACAAGAAAAAGGGCTGACAGGAAACTGCAGATTTTAAAATATAGGTCATTATTTAGGCCTATTAACGTTAAGATAAATATTTGTCACAATACATTGAAATATGTACTTGTGTGCAAGAGAGAATATGCACTTACTGCCAATTGTAGCTTGCAAGGAAAAGTCTTAATGCCTAGCAGGCTCACTGTAACATTCAAAATGTACTTAACGTCAGCACAATAAGTTTAAAATAATGGCCACAAAGAGCCGTGCACACACAAGCAGTGGGATTTGTTATTTGCTCTCGAAACTGCTGCAAATGACTGCTTACCCTTTGAAAACATTTGTTCCCCTTTGATTATTATTAGAGCGTTAACTCATGCGATTAATTTGATATATATAATGTGTTAAAAAAATTTACGCAGTTGCTGTTATATTTCCTGTTTAAGTCAACGTGTGTTCAACATGCAAAGAAATATGGATAAGACCAAGGAAACACTTTTAGAAGGAACCTTTCAGTATAAAACAATTATTGTCGCATTACCAGGCTTTCCAGCATTTCATCTAATTTAGTACGTTTCATTTTTATCTTTAGACTTTTGCTGTAATAGAAATTGATACCACATGCCGAACGGAAAGAAAAAACCTCCGCAATTCGTGGCTCGGTGTTGCTTTAAGGTAATCAAAAAAAAAAAAAAAAACTGTTTACAAGGTAGACTCTTAATAAGAGTATTAATCATATTAAAATGGCAGTATTGGTGTCCATATAAATGTACTCAGTAAAAGTGCCAGATGATGTCGCGATCTGTCGAAGACATCTGCATTCGTCTGCCTTTAAAATGATTCCATGTGCGCTCTAATGTTTCTTTAAGTTCAGGGGCGGACTGGCCATCTGGCAGACCAGGCAGTTTCCCGCTGGGCTGACGTACTTTTTGGGCCGGGCTGATCATCATCTTATGATCTGATCGGCCCATAAAAGGCTTAGCAGCCTATCATTTTATTCTGCCTTATTAATTGACGCTGCTGTGATCTGTGACTCTTTGAAAGTAAGACGTTTTTTTTCCACGACAGACAGACCGGGCCGGCGCTTGCGACACTCTGCAGCCCATTGGCCTTTCTGTATTGACATTGGGCTGGCCCAATCACAAACTCCTATTTTGGACTCTTTGTGAGCATGTATCGTCTGTGTGTATTTGTCAAAATAGTCGAGAATCAGACAGAAGAAACGGAAGGGAGGAGCAGAGAAATCGCGGGAAACACACCGCCATTTCATTTAGCGGTTCTGAAAAGTTCTCTGTTCATTCTAGTACACGGCTAAAACGCAAATCACGTGACCACACACACTCTGCCCAGAGCTGCAGCCAGTAGTCCAGCGGGTGTGCATATACCCCAGGTGAGAGCATAGTGGATGTCACACAGTTCATCTGCTGGATCCCATCTCACTATAGTTGTTAAACGTGATATTGAATTCATCTTGTTGTTTATCTAACAACTCTTATGTCTTTTGAATCACTTGTTCTCAGTTAACTGTTTTGGCTGAGTGCAAAGATAAGCTAATATATTAATTTATGTAACCACATACACTGATTCTGCACATTGACTGACTGCTTACCTTTATTGTTTAAATTTAATGTACATTATACTGTTATAATGGCCATTATTGATTATTAAAACTGATATTCTGCAAAAGAGACAGGTTAAAGTTTGTTCTTTTTAATGAAAATGAAAGGAGGCAGTTATATTTAAGCCCTGTTTTGTTACAAATATGCAGAGTAAAGATGATGGTCATAAAAATATGCAGCTTCACGAGGCTGTTTGGTGTCTGTTAATCATAATATCAAAATGAAACAAATTTTCCTTATATTATGTTTTCATTGTTTAGATAGTGAAACAGCAAGCAGGATGAGATTAAATAAGGTTATAAAGTACACGGTTCCCTTTGAAGATTTACCCATGCATTAGCAGGCAGTTTTTTTTATGTTTATTATCGAATATAGGCTGAGTGAATAATGTTTTGAATAAGCTAAATTGGCTGTAGTGTACGTGTGTGAGTGAATGAGTGTGTATGGGTGATTTCCAATATTGGGTTGTGGCTGGAAAGGCATCTGCTGCATAAAACATGCTGGAATAGTTGGCAGTTTCCTTTCGCTGCGGCAACCCCTGATAAATAAGGGACTAATGCGAAGGAAAATAAATGAATGAACAGTGTGTTTTTTAGAACTGAACAAATATCTTTATGGACACTATACAGAATTAAATTGATATTAATGTATGTATTTATTTATTTCATATATATGGCTTTTGTGTTTTATAAAACAGGAGTTGATAAAAATATTTGACATGTACAGATAGATAGCATTTTGAATGAATGTAGTGGGCCGATCTGGCCCAAAATGCCAGGGCCGATTTTTTGTCCAGTCCAGCCCTGGTTGCCAGAGTAACTGAGTTTGAACTATCGTAAATTTGATTTATGAAACTGAATCCGCCATTAATAAACCTGACTTACCAAAATAAGCCTGGCATTTTCTCTAAGCTTGGTTTATGGAACAGGCCCCTGGTATAGCATGATCATTGTGGAACGTGATTACAGATAACCCAGATTCTCTTCATCCAGGAATAAAATGACTCAGGCCCCGTTTAAACTAGTTATTAGTTTAGTTTTAAAACGGCGTTGTAGAATGAAAACGATCCGCGTCCACACTCGCGTTTTACCCAGTGTTTCTGAACAGCTCTCCGTCCACACCAAAACGCTGAAAACGCACATCACGTGACCACACACACACTCTCGGGCAAGCGCTCCAGCATTTCTACCCAGATGAGAGCTCTGCTTGTCGGACTGCTCATCAAGCATCTCCCGCTGGATCTAATCTCACTATATTTGCTAAACGTGATATTTCATTCATGTTTTTGTCTTTATCTAACGACATAGGCCAATTCCCTGACTTTGGTCATTGGAATCTATTAAGTTACTTGTTCACGGGTAACATGTTTTGGTTAAACGCAAAGATAAGTTAATGATTAATCCAGGTACATTGACTGATCGCTTGCCTTTATTTCCTACAATGTATAAACTTATTGTATGTTATACTTTTATAATTATCGATTATTAAAACTGATATTCAGCAAAAGAGAGGGTGTGTTTCGTAATTTCACTGAAATTGAAAGGAGGCAGTTGTTATCGGCTCAGTTTTGTTATTAATATCCACACAGTGAAGATGACGCTCATATATGCAGCACGGCGCCTCAACATTTCTGCTGTCTGTTAAGTTGCTAATATTAAAAAGAAAATAGGCAGTTCCTTAAATCATGTTTACATTTTATTGTTGAGAAAGTGAAACAACGTAGCCAGGGTGATGTGAATGAAGTTATAAAGTACACTGTTCCCTTTGAAGATTTACCCGTGTCCTCGGTATGTTTTCCATATCAAACTGAGAAGGGGGAGACTGCAGCCTTGATCAAACTTGCGAAGTCTTAACTTACAAGAAGAGGATGCTAGACTGAACTGTGTGTGGGCTACTTAATATTGAGGAAAAGCCCCAATCAGATAGGTGAACGTTTGCAGCCCCGCCTCCGTTTTCAGATGTCTCCGTCTTTCCCCATCCACACTGAGACGGAGCAGCAGCGTTTCAGAATGAAAACGGCCTCTCCAGCGTTTTCAAAAAGCTCCGTTTTCGGCGCTCGAGAACTCCGGCGTAGTGTGGACGGATGGCGTAACCGTAGCAAAACTTATGCGTTTTCAAACTAAAACGCACAAGTGTAAACGGGGCCTCAGGGTTAACAATTTGAAGTGTGAAAAGCCCTAAAACTACTCAGCATCAGCTCTCAGGATTAACAGAGCACAATGACAAACAGCAACAATTGTCAATCATGTCATAGTTGTGACCTAATCTCATGCTTTTGTTTTAGAACTTCAGTTGCCTATTAGGGAAATGACCAGAAATAATGAATGGCAGAAAACAGACACACTCCTTGCTCTACATACAGATGTGTTCATGACTACACATACAAAGAAAAATAATGAAATGAGAAAATAAGACTTTGCAACATTAAGCAGCATTAGGCATGGACCAGTTTAAGATTCTGAAGGTATGATAACCTAAAATATATTTTCTTCTGAGAAACTTTTAAAGTATTTTGGAGCAGTAAACATGTCAGGCTAAATCATTCAAATGAATCACAGATTTCTTTACGATTTAAAACAGCATCTTTGGATATCTTTTCTGCTGGAGATACTGTTGTCCTAAAAAACTTAAAACATAAAAAAACCTTACATATACTGTAGGAACGGTGCAGCAGAAAATGTTGGCGGTTTTAAAACCTTGACTATTCCAAACTGCGGTAAACCTTGAAAATGGTTATCGTCCCCTGCCTAAGCAGCATAACACTGATATTTAGGATCTAAAAATTTATTCTTAAAAAAAAATTTTCTCAAGCAAAAAGATTCCAATGGCGATGCCTGTTGGTGCATGAAGAATATGGTCAATATTCTGAGACTGTACAATATTTTATAACAACTATTTTAGTGTCCATTTCACTCAGCATGTTTAATATTGGGGGCATCCACATTTTTTTGACATACTTAGGACCAGGGGATCTGTTTTTATGACATTTTTAAGACCATTATGAATGAAAATGTTTAAAGCCTAAAATGTTAAGTCTTCTATGAGAATACTGTAGGTCAAATATCATCAGCTCAGTTAAACCTTTTATTGATTTATTGTTTTAATTTATTTTATATAGCGCCAGTGTTCATGGACGCTTTACAAACAGTAAAAGAACAAGAAAAGCAATAACCTTAAGAAGGTAGAGAAAATGGACTAATAATACATAAAATAATGACAAAAGACAAGAGAACAAGTGATGAAAGAAACTCATTCCTGTCTTTCAATGAGTGCTTATGTGCATTTAGGAGAACTAGGCAGCACACTCAGAGCTGCAAGATGGATTTAATTTAGTATTCTTATTATTAAAATATATCTGAATGAGGATCAGATGACTAAGTTCGTGTTTGAGAATGAAAATCAACCTGTTTGTTCCTGTGGATCTTCCTGTTTGACTGTGAATGTTTCTTCAATCTTCACATCTTCACTCTCCTCTTTAATAAACGTCATCTTTATAACAGTGTGGAGATCAGTCGCTTCAGCAGGAGTTTTTCTCTGCGTTTGGACACTTTATCCTATTTAAAATGAACAAAACAATAAAAATGTTCTGTTTAAAATAAATAAAACAATGAATAGAAACAAAATAACTTCTCTTTAACACTTGCTTCAACAGTTTCTATTAATGAGAGTAATTAACAAAAAGAAATCAGGTAAAACATTTCTTTAAAACAGTGGTTCTTAAAGTGAGGGTCGGGACCCCCTGAGGGGTTGCGGGACAATGAAGGGGGTTGCCTGGTGATTTCCAAAAATCTATTTATTTTTAGCAAACCATAAGAATTACCATTGTTTTTCCATAACCTACTGAAAAAGGTTTATAGTTACTATATACTATATTTAGTTACTATTGTAGCTTATAGTTACTAGTTCTATTGGATTGCGAGCCCTGAGGTAATTACATTATATTAAAGACACAGATGCAGCAGTTTGATTTAAGAATACCAGGTCAAACTTTCTGGCACATTTACAGCACTCACATACATTTAAAAAATTAAACGAAGAATAGACCTGATTCTATTGGTGTGCGTGCACCATTGCATGCAAGGTTTCTGTATTTATTGGTTTTATATTTGCACATTCGAACTTTACCCTTAATAATATAATTTCATAAAAGTATTATTCGCAAGCTCTAAATAGTGAAATCATATGTGACTATCAATTGTTGTCATTGTTCACAGTCAAATAAACAATGTTAATGTTGTTTTCAATTCACACTTGCATGCTTATTCCGATCGAAAATTTAAAGTAACATAGTAAGCAATATAGATAGAGGTAAAGTTGGTTTTATATTCACACATTTGTTTATTTAGAAGTCTCTATATTGTACACCATGTTACTTTGAATATTCGATCAGAATTAGCATGCAAGTGTAACTTGAAAACAACATTAACACTGTTTATTTGACTGTAAACAATGTTGTACTTTGATAGTCATTGGCTGCTAATATGATTTCACTCTTTAGAGTTTGCAAATAATACTGTTATGAAATTATATCATTAAGGGGGAAGTCTGAATGTGCGAATATAAAACCTACTTTACCTCTGTTTGGGGGTCACAGGTCACTGGCATCATTGTTTTGGGGGTCGCGGGCAGAAACGTTTGGGAAACACTGCTTTAAAACACATTTTACACCCTAGCCCTCGGTTACTGAGAATAAAATAGTACTACGCTGTATAGATGGTTAAAATAATAGTTCCAACAGCGGGTACATAATGTAGCATCAGATAAAAAAAACTGAAACTTTAGTTAAATCGGTTTATATCTGTAATTGTTTTAAAACAAACCTTTCTCCAGTTGAATCACAGCGCTGAAGCGGCGCCGCCTGATGACGTCACGCGCCAAAATAAAGGTCTTTTGTTTAGCTTTTTTTTGCCACTCACTGTTGCAGTTATGACTTATTCATACATTTCTCCCATGTTTTTCACTTTTTTCATATGAATCGTTGTCTCTTATTATCTGTGTTCCACGTTTCCTGCCATTTTTAGCAATATCTTCAGTAATAATATTTAATTTACCTTTACTTTCAGAAGCAATAAAGGGGTAGTTCGCACAAAAATTACAATTCTGACATTTACTCATTCTCTACTTGATCCAAACCTGTTCGAGTTTCTTCTGCTGAATGCAAATGAATAGAATACAGGAGCAAAAACAGCCACTATATGCTTCAACAGTTCCTACTTTGGACATGGCTGCTTTTTTCAACATTTTCTTGCAAACAAAATGTTCTTGGAACTCAATTACAATTGAACCACTAAAGTCAAGTCACAGGTTTTGACAATGTTTTTGGTTCCTTTTCTGGACTTTGAGCACCGGGACTCTTGCTGTCAATGACAGATGAGGGAGCTCTCTGACTTTATCTAAAGTGTCTTCATTCGCATTCTGAAGATGAGCAAAGTTCTCAGGAGATTGAAACAACAGGTAGAGGGACAATTGTTCACAAGTGCCTAGTGTACACTTTAACACACGCCTGCCACCACTGCTGATAAACCGCTACATCGCACTGCTTATTAAAATTAATTTATACATTTTTTTATTGAAATAACAACAGGCCATAACAACAAATAGAAATACAAAAACTGATAGTACTGCTCCTCGTGTGATATTACTCATATATTCATTCATTTTCTTTACGGCTTAGTCCCTTTATTAATCAGGGGTCGCCATAGTGGAATGAACCGCCAACTTATCCAGCACATGCTTTACGCAGCGGATGCCCTTTCAGCTGCAACCCGTTACTGGGAAACAAGCACATACACTCATTCACATGCACTGCATGGATACCGCATGTCTATTGACTTTGAGGAAACCAGACCATCCGGAGGAAACATCATGCGAACAAGGGGAGAACATGCAACCTCCACACAGAAACGCCAACTGACATAGCTGAAGGTCGAAACAGCAACCTTCTTGCTGTGAGGCGATCGTGCTACCCACTGTGACGTCTCACATATATAATTATTTAAGGTATTAAACTGGTATTGGTGAATAACTATGCTTAAAAATGGTTGTTATTTTTAAAATGTGTGAAAAGGCACCATTCAGATGTAGCAATTGTATTGATCTGGGCAATCAAGCATGTATTGTTATAGACACCTATTCTTATTTGTCTTAAGAGATGTAAGGCAGGTCTTGTTCATGTAATATGCTTTAGGCTATCAAGTTGGTATTGGAACGAGCAGCTATACTCGTCAACCGGTTTCTTATATGTAAAACAGTCCTATTCAGTTAATGGTGTGGCCTATCATGCAGCTATTAATAAATACGACTGCACATGACGATGATCCATTTATTTAAATGAATATGTGACACAGATATTGAAATTTCATTGTTGCAAACAAGTTACAGGAGTAAGTGCAGTTGTTGCTGTATGTGATGTCCACCACTTTAAACACACCATGGTAAAAAATTATTCTGAGAAATGGTGTAGTTGCTGTAGGTGGAGCAGGTTAACCAGCCTGAATTACTCTGTATAAACTGCCCATTCAATAATTTAACTTGTGATGTAATTATTTTCTAATTATAAATATATAGATGCATGACAGATTTAATATTGGACTCCACAAGGGTAAGACCACAGCTTAAAATCGCATCACGTGATTGCATGAGACCTATAAAAGATCAAAACATGACCTCTCTGTACAAAAAACTTCAATATGGAGCAATCGCTCACTTTTATCAACCTCTAATCCTATTGTTTTATCCCGTCCCGTTCTACAGCATCATACAACAGAATTTCAAAAGCACAAACTAGTGTGGACACGGCAACTTGCTTTCAGATTACCTCTGTCCAGCTGCTACTAGGCAGAGTGGGTGCATTTAGAAGCTGCTGTGCTGTGGAAGTTCCTGACTAGAAGTTGCTTTCTTGATTTGTTTGTGTTACTTGTTGGTTGAACCTTTAAAGTGTTGTGATTTTTGCGCATTGACTCGACTGCATTGATTCCTTTGTCTATTAGGCTATTTTCAATTTGATTTCAGAATTTCACAGAGTGAGTGCATTTTCCCTCCTTCTCAAGGTAAAGAGATAAAGCTCCGGAAGTTGACAAAATCAAATAAACCCAACCTAGTTTAAAAAACTTAAATTTGAAGCAAAAAAGATGCTGGAGGACAGGATCAGATATATGGCACTTTACTCACACCTGATTGCCTCTGCAGATTATACATAACATTTCACAGCACCTGAAATTAACACAAATGAGTTTGAAGTTACAGAGTGTCTCATCCATTTGTGATTAATGTACAAACAATTATCTACAAAGACCAAAAGTAGCAAATAATCGACAGTATGTGATCGCTTTACTGTGTTAAAAGAAAAAAAGGTTTTGTCACAGAGTATCTTTTATATTCTCTTGTGAATATCTATGCATATTTGTATGCACAAACACAAGTGATAATCAGAGGGGAAAACATCTTTGTTACATACCAGGTGAATAAGAGGTTTTCGAGAGAGCTGAGCTGCTCACGCATGTTCTGTTCAACTAAAAAACGAAGGAAAGAAAACAAAATTGGCACAGAAACAAGTTACATTTTGATTGTTAAAATGTGAAGACATTTTTGGAAAGAAATAATTGACCTGTTAAGAGTGTGTTGACTGTCTTACAGAAACCAGTAAAGAGCTGCATGTGCTTTAAGAGAAATAAAGGACTCTAAACTCACATAAAGAACAAGTTCAGTGATAAATAAATGACAAAAAAAATGCTAATAGATAGCTCATTTCAATATATTGACTAAACTTGACAAATAAAACCTCAATGTGAAGTTCAGAAATTGTTTCTTTTAAAAAATGATAATATATCACTGTATAATAATATAAGACTTACATGACTATTATATAAGTGAATGTAGCTGTATGTATTGAGACATCAGTGTGGCTTGAGTCTTCAATGGTCATTTGCATCTTTACACAAAGACTTCAGCCAAGCAACTCTGAGAAGCTTCTACAAAAACAACACACAACTCTTGCATTACCTTTTAACCAGGCTTGGGAAAAAATAAATTGAAATGTCTTTCAAATCAAAATACCTCAACATAAGTGTGTCAATATTATCAACAACATGCAGCAGCCAAACTAAAAAATAAGCTTCCATCAATAGTCCTATTCACCTTATTCTCAGCTGTCGAGCGGGCGCTGCCATTTGAATCTTTTTGTCTCGCGACTTCCGGTCACATTCACTTCCATTCATTTTTTGACGTTAACAACTGCTCGTTACGCTGCTTGATGTTGCAATTTAATATTTTCTTATTATATTATGCTTCTTGGTCTGTGTAGTCATGCAAACATTTGTTTGTTGAGCAAGTAGTTTGGCCATTTTCTGCCGTTTATTATTCCTAGTCATTTCTCCCATATGCGACTGAATCGGAAGTTCTAAGACAATCGCGAAAACAGGCACACTTCCGCGTTTTAGAATAAGGTCAATAAAACAAAAGCAACAAATCAAATGAAGATGGCTAAAGTCAACTTATTTTCCCAATACATCATTATTTCTCTGTAAAACTGGTTTGTAAAGCTACTGAACTTTCCATCCCCCACGGTATGTGTCTTGAGTCTTCACTGCTCTCCACTGCTCATTTGCATCTTTATACCAGCATTAATGGGGGCCAATTGAGTCTTATCCAAACACATTCCAGATCCTGTAGCTCAGCAGGGTTGTATCTATATATTCTGGGTTCCTAACAGAAACGTCATTGGCTTATTTTGCTAAGTAAAGAGAACAACTTTGGATGACAAACTACGATTGTTGATTCCTACATTGGGATCATTACCAACAACAACCTACAAAGAAAAGCCCACTGAGGCCATTTCTCATCCCACATATTCATTGAAGACTGGAAAGGTGAGTTGCACATTCTGAATTTACTCTTAAAAATATCTGATTGCTAACATTATAAAATGTAAAATCTAAACATGTGTGGATGCACTGTTCAACATTGAATTAAAGTTCTTCAGTCATTTTTAAAAGCTTCTATACAACTATTTATTTAGTTTTTTGTTTGTTTGTTTATTTGGTTATGAATATTGTTTTTATCCTGACAAATGGACTGTAGCCCAGTTTCAACCTAAGTTAACCTAGTTAAGTTTCAACCTATTACATATATAAGTTGGAACCTGGCAGGCAGTTTTGGAGAATTTGATGTTTCCCCATTCAAACATACAAAGAGGTGGCAACATCAGTTGAATGCAAGTGAATGAGTTAAAGCTATGGATAAAGAAATGCAATCGTTTAAAGAAAATGCAACCTCGTACCAACCTACCTGAAGGTGAAGATCTGGGGGGGGGGGATTTTTGAAAAATTTTTATTTTTTTCAATTAACATAAAGATTGATGGTCTTACAAATACAAAACAGAAAGCAGATAAAGTATAAAGTGGAAAATGTATCAATAATTCATGACAAAGAGTAAGTAGGGGAAAAAGCTAAACAAAAAACCCGCACTGGGATTCAACTGGAGAAAGGTTTGTTTTAAAGCTTTTACACCAATGTAAACCAACTGATTAAAATTTCAGGTTGTTCATATAATGCTAGATGTACCTGCTGTTGACAATATTATTTTAACCCTTTATACAAAGAAGTAGTATTTTACTCACAATAAGGTCTATTGTTTGAATAAGACTTTATTTGTCCCCGAGAAGAAATTCTTGTCTTGTGCAAAAGAGTGCTACAACGTTGCTGTAAGCAGACAATTAAATAAATAAAACAAACAAAATAATTAACAACATTTGTTAAAGTTTAAATAAAGCAACATTTAAGTGTGTAATAAGTGTTTTAATGAAGGTTTAATTTGTTAAATTGCATGATGTCATTCTATTCTAAATATACATCACTATATAATAGAAATAGAATAATGTTACTTGTTTTAATCAGCTTATTTGTTGCTATTGTTTCTTGCTCGCACTTACCTGATTTATTTTTGTTAATTACTCTCATATAAAGAAACTGTTAAAGCAAGTGTTGAAAAGAAGTTATTTTGTGTCTGTTCATTGTTTTATTTATTTTAAACAGGACATTTTTATTGCTTTGTTAATTTTTACAGGATAAAGTGTCCAAACGCAGAGAATATATATATATATATATATATATATATATATATATATATATATATATATATATATATATATATATATATATATATATAATAAGGAATGACTAGTTAAAACATGTAGTAGTAATGAATAGTTTTTACTTGAAGGGCACCTATTTTACCTCCCTTTCATAATTTAAGTCTTTTACGTCTGTAAAGTTTCAGCTTAAAACACCCATCAGATTATTTGTTATACATTTTAGACCGTTGAGATTTTCTGCTTTAAACACTTCGACTTAGTGATTAAACACGTTTTTTAAATTGTCTTAAAATGTTTAGAGTAGAGGATTTGATTAACTCCAAATACGTGTGTCTGTGTATGTCAGAAAGTGGAGGGAGAAATGTGTCAATAAGTCATGACTGCAACAGTAAGTGGCAAAAAAAAGACTTTTATTTTGGCGTGGTGTGTGACGTCACAAGCATGCGCCGCTCCCGCGCTGTGATTTAACTGGAGAAAGGTTTGCTTTAAAGCGTTTACCCTTATATAAAACGATTGATTAAGGTTTTTTTTTAATTAAGTGCTAAATTATGTACCTGCTGTTGACAATATTATTTTAACATTTTATACAACTAAGTACTATTTCACTCACAGTAATGAGATCTGTTGTTTGAATAAAGATAGGATAAACTTTGTCCCTGAGAGGAAATTTGTCTTGTGCAAAAAAGTGCTACACCTATAGAGGTAAAGTTGGTTTTCTATTCACACATTCGTTCATTTAGAAGTCTCTATATTGTTTACCATGTTACTTTGAATATTAGATCTGAATTAGCATGCAAGTATAACTTGAAAACAACATTAGCACTATTTATTTGACTGTGAACAATGTTGTACTTTGATAGTCATTGGCTGCTAATATGATTTCACTATTCAGAGCTTGCAAATAATACTTTTTATGAAATTATATTATTAAGGGGAAAGTCAGAATTTGCGAATATAAAACCAATTTTACCTCTATTTACACGTTGCTGTAAGCAGACAATAAAGTAAATGAAACAAACAACACGATTAAGAACATACCTGAATAAAGTTTCAAAAAAGTTACAGAGATGTAACTGTGTAATAAGTGTTTTAATGAAGGTCTAATTTAATGTTAGTCCATTCTAAATTTACATCAATATATGTAAGAAATAAAGTACTAGCTTTAATCTGCTCATTTGAAGCAAGTGTTGAAGAGAAGTTATCTTATTTCTGTTATTTCTGTTTTGTTCATTTTAAACAGGATAAAGTGTCCAAACTCAGAGAAAAACTCCTGCTGAAGCGACTGATCTCCACACTGTTATAAAGATGGCATTTATTAAAGTAGAAAGTGAAGACCTGAAGATTGAAGAAACATTCACAGTCAAACAGGAAGATCTGCAGGAACAAACAGGTTGACTTTTATTCTCAAAGACCGACGCAGTCATCTGATCCTCATTCAGATATATTTTAATAATAAGAATACTAAATCCATCTTGCAGCCCTGAGTGTGCTGCCTAGTTCTCTTAAATGCACAAAAGCACTCATTAAAAGACAGAATGAGTTTCTTTCGTTACTTGTTCTCATGTTTTTTGTCATTATTTTATGTATTATTAGTCTCCTATTTTCTCTACCTTCTTAAGGTTATTGCTTTTCTTGTTCTCCTACTGTTTGTTAAGCATCCTAGAGCACTAGTACTATATAAAATAAATAAAAACAATCAATTAAAAAAGTTTAACTGAGCTGACACTATTTGACCTACAGTATTCTCATAGAAGATATCTGCTATTACAGTGATAGTTTTGGCTAGAGTTAGAATTAAATCATTATTATAATAACTAATTACCAGGGCTATTGTGTTTAAACAGAGTGTTTCGCAGGGTCTTAAAATGTCTTAAATTCCTAAATCTAAATCTAAAAATGCCTTAAAAACTCTTAAATTTACTGAAATATTGTGTTGTAGGTCTTAAGTCTTTTTAAACAAGTCCTAATTTTCCTTTGTTAATGTTTTGCTACCCAATCTGGCCAAAACCCATTCAATCACCAGCAATCCATCTCAATAAAACTTTTTATTCAAAATTGTCATTTTAACTCGGTTTATCATAATGGTTTAATTATTTTCCTTACAATAATATTTGCATAAATGTGCTCCTTGTATTTACTGCTGAGGACATCGACCTGGACAGATTATTGTGCAAAGATTTAGTTAATTATAGTTTTTAAAACATTTAAAACCTTTGTTTATTTTTTTTATTATTTTTTACATTTTAAAAAAGTTTAGGTTGAAAAGTGTACGGATACAGGTAAAGCTTGTTTTTACACAATATAATTTTTTTTTTTTTGCTAAGAAATATATAAAATACTGTGTTTTTATATTAATTTATTATTGTATTATTAAATGTATTTATTTATTTTTATATATAACATAATTATATATAGAGCAAATAAAACCCTTTTCCATCTGGGGTATTTGAAAAATTCCTTATACTTTAACTCTTCTTGAGTCAAAAATGTTAACCCTGGTTTAAAGTATGTCAGAAAATGTAGATGCTTTAATTTTAAATATGCTGGATAAAATGGACACAAAAAATATTTATTATTTTAAAACATTGAACTACAGTATTCTAAATTATATGACGATTTTGTGGGACGACATGAGACAAAACAAATTATAGTGGAATAACGTTTAGCATTGCACTAACTACAACAGGCCAACAAACTAGTTTAAAAATGACTTTTGCAGTTTAAGAAATGGATTACAGCATGCTGATGATATGCAAACATTTGAGTGTGAAGTTCGTCAGTATTGACCATATTCTTTACGTACCAGCCGGCGCCTTGGAATCGTTTTGCTTGAGACTTTTTTTACAGAATGAATTTTTAGATCCTGAAAACAGTGTAAAGACCCACGCACACCAAGATGTTTTTTGCGTTTTCTGTCGACATTTAACACCTTGTGACTATATAAAGGGCATCAATGTGATGGTGCACACCACACGCAAATCGCCAGGCATAAAAAAAAAAATAATAATTTTTAAAGAAACGCCTCATGCTCGTTTTTTTTTTTTTTTAATTTGATGCGCTGCGTTAAAAACTTCACTAATCAGGTTGGCACTTTTGTTCATGTGCACGGAGCTGCTGAAGTTACAGTAAACAGCCCTTGGAGGCGCTCAAGCTCAAAACTGTCAATGCGAGCGCACATTGAAGAAAATGCCCAGAGTCGATATCAACGTGGAGCTGCTTATTGCTCTGTGAACAATAATCATTTCTCCATCGCTGGAGCTGCTACTTGAACCAGCCATGCTTGTTCGAGTCACTAGTAACTTTAAAGGGCCATAAAACCCCCCGTTTCAGCAGGATGTTTGCATACCTCTAGTTTGGAAAAAGTCAGGAAAGTGGGTGTTTCTTGCTCTGTTTGGGTGGGAGTGTCGGTGGAGGTAAAATAGGCAGGTTTTGAATAAAAAAGGGAGTTGCCTTTTGTGCACGCGCTTCTGACAGAGGACAAACAAACACACACGCAGGGGAGAAAGACAGTGTGTTTAATGACAGTAAAATGTTTGATACTGCAGGTCATATAAGAGAAAAAAACCTCTGCACTTCACTCAAAAAAATGATTTGTTGGACTTACATAAAAAAAAGAGTGTCAAGTGGTTCCACGTAACTGTGTTAAGTAGTTTCTACAAGTAACAATATAGTTGAATGAACAAAAGAAATTCAGGTAAAGTTTACAAAATAATTCTTAGTACCTACAACCCAATTTAGATGTGTCATTATTACATTTTAGTTATATGTATATTTTACTTAGTAATGTTATGTAAAAATTATGAACTTTCAATATGTAAGGTGAACACTTTCTTTTCTTTTTTATTCACTTTTAAAGTATGTGCTCTACAAGTGTAAAACCTAAATAATGAAACATTTTTAGAAACAAAATTAATTTATTTTTTTGCAAGGTTTTGCAACATACAACACCTAAAATCCATAAAATAATTTCAATTTCACAGGTCCTTTGAAACAAATACACAAAAACAAAGGATTTACAGTAAACATTTACAAGGTCTTTCAAAGTGTAACTGGCTTTAAGAATTTGAAATAATCTTAATTTGAAAAATTAAATACATGGAATGTTAAAATACTGCTAAACTCTATTTCTGATCTTTACAAAGAATAGTTAAAGTAACATTCAAACTGGCCTCGATTTTTGTAAACATCCACAAACAGTTGAAATAGCAGTTTGAAGAGGATTTTTTTTTTTAAAAACACTTTGGTCAATAGTGAACATTCTTACAATGTGCTACTTCCTTCAAATATTGTAATAAGAATTTTCAAAAGAAAATGTGTAAGGACATTTTATTTCAATACTGTCATGAAATGCAACATTGCTGATATTTTAAAATGTTTAAGCGATTGTTAAAATATACAACTGGCCTCTTTATGACAACCCCCACCAAAATAACATTTAGTTTCAAAAAGACAGAAAAAAACACGAAAAAAAAAAAGTTTATTATTGACCAAAATGTTATTTTACTATATGCAACTGCAAATAATACATTTTACTTGGAAAACGAAAAGCAAAGTTTAAGGCAGGCAGCATGACACAAACTGCTACAGGGTTCAATTTTGGATATCTGAAATCGTTCGAGCCATTAGTAAAGAAAAGATTAAAACTGACCTCTAATCTTTGTAAATAACCAAACCATTTAGCCATTTAAAGTTGCAGAACTTCATTTAAAACTTTGGTGCCATCAACAAAGATAACATCACATTAATTTTAAAACCATAAAACAATTTAAATGTCACAAAAAAGCTTCTTCCTCTATTTCTTTCATTTGTCCAGAATGATGTACTGATTCAGCCAAGTTTGCTCTTGAGTTCTTCAAGTCCCAGCAACACTTTCTGGAAAAAACTCGGGTGTATTTCAGGTCTGAAGGATAACTAAAACTCAAGCTGTATATTACTCCCAAAAGAAGAGCACAAGTCTTGGTGACATCGCCAAGGTTCTGAAGCACTTTTACTCCCTCAACAATCAGTCCAACACCTGATGGTGGGTCACAGGTTTCTGCACCTTCAGGTCTGACGATGTAGATTATAAATGAGAGTATTGGCCATGTCTCTCTCTCTCTCAGAGTTTTCAAAGCCTGTGTCCTATAAAACACAAAAACAGTACCACTGTTAAGTCAGTTTAATTCCATCAAAAATACAGATTGTAAATTTTGTATCAACTGTCCATTCCTCAATCTTTTACATAACGCACCTGCAGTGACTTACAAAACAACTTTACTGTGTTTGTTAGGGTTAGTCTGTACTTTTGATAACCCCAAGTTAAATATACTTTGTGTATTGATATTCCTTGATTATATTATGTGAATTTATGTGGTGGCACTTTAAACATTCAGTGCTTGAAAACACTTACAGTATACTTCTTCATGAGGTTTTCATAATCTTCATTAAGATACAGAGAAAATGCTCCGAGAATGCAAGCTCTCCATCATTCTGTAGAAGAGACATTAAGTATAAACAATGAAAAAACACCATACTAAAGTGGAAATTATTTACAAGCATCATGAAATACAGTTAACAAACCTCATCAATGGTAGCCATCACTTTCCAAATATTATGCCCTGCAATTCATAAAGATAAAGTTGGTTTTATACTTGGATATAAAGACATTATATTATTAAGGAGAATTTCAGAAAAAGTATTCTTTGCTAATTCTAAATAGGGAAATTATATTAGCATTAAATGACTATCAAAGTACAACATTGTTCAGATTGAATTAGACCTGTGTTAATGTTGTTTAGAAGTCATACATGCATGATAATTCTGATCGAATATTCAATGTAACATGGTAAACAATATAGAGACTGCTAAATGATCGAATGTGCGAATATAAAACCAATGTTATCTCTATCTGCGATTCCTATAGAGGTAAAGTTGGTTTTATATTCGCACATTTGTTCATTTAGCAGTCTCTATATTGTTCACCATGTTAAATTGAATATTCGAACAGAATTAGCATGGGAGTATGACTTGAAAACAACACTAGCACTATTTATTTGACTGTGAACAATTTTGTACTTTGATAGAAATTTACTGCTAATATGATTTTGCTATTTAGAGTTTGCAAATAATACTTTTATGAAATTATATTATTAAGGGGAAAGTCCGAATGTGCGAATATAAAGCCAACTTTACCTCTATGCAATTCCTCCTTCTCTACGGGAGATGCTGGCCAGCTTGCTGGAGTAACTATCCAGTTTTGACATGTTTGAATTAGTGGGACAGAAGTGATTCAACTGAATTCAGCAGCAATCTGTAGATTTAAGACACAAGATTATAGTAAAGATAGCTTTCATACAAGGCACTGTATCACTGTTTCTTAGGTGGTTATGCATGTTACTAAAAATATTTCTGACTCTATATTGCTGCAAGAACACACATGGCATTTGAACTTGGCTAGTGTTACATTTGGATGTAACCCAGTGTTCTCATTTGCTTGGACAGAGGTAAAGTTGGTTTTATATTTGCACATTCAGACTTAATAATAATAAAATTTCATAAAAGTATTATTTGCAAACCCTAAATAGTGAAATCATATTTGCAGCCAATGACTATCAAAGTACAACATTTTTCACAGTCAAATAAACAGTGTTAATTTTGTTTTCAAGTTATACTTGCATGGTAATTCTGATCGAATAACTCAAAGTAAAATGGTAAACAATAGAGACTTCTAAATGACCGAATGTGCAAATATAAAACCAACTTTACCTCTATCTACAGTTAAGATGGCTGTGTAGCACATTCCATGTTTTAAATCTACAGAGAAACTCGGAATAAGTGCATAAAAACACAACTATAATATCTATGCTCTAATCTAGTCGTGACAGTTATTTTGCAGTCTTTGCACTGCCAAATGCTTTCCTTGAGAAACACAAGTCAGTAGAGCTAGCTAAAAATGCTAAAGCTCAAAAGACTCTGAAATACACTGATAACATAAAATAACATCATTCTGTGAACACTTTTCCTAGCGATATTTAACAGTAAAGAGTTATAAAATACTCTTACCTGAAAAAGCCACCATCTTCTCCTCCTCAATGTGCTTTGCACGTTCGTCTGCCTTCTGTTCTGTTCCGGTGCTCCACCCATAGGTAAGCTACGGTATCCGCAAATATCCAAACTTAAGAGGGTTTTGCGATTTACTCCTCAATGTTAAGTTGTCCAGTCAAACCCTTATTAGGTAAAGCCTACAGTACTCAATTTTTGTAGAAATAACATAGTTAACTTGTGTAAATTTAATTACTTTTATGTTTTATGTAATGTGAACAAGGATGGGTATAGTAAAACTAACAATAGGGAAAGTTCATTTTTTTGAGTGTTCTCTGTAACTGAGATGCACTCTGAAAGCCGTGTGTAGGTCACAAACCCCCGGGTTAACATTATTATTTGTATATTTACGTTGTCACTGTCCCTGATGGGACAAACTGTAGTTAACTTTTTTAGATGGCATTTCTGCATCTTGTCGGGTATATAAAATATCTTAATGTCTTATCTAAATGTCTTTATGTAGGTTTTTATCTAAGCATCAGGTCATGCACAAAGACAAGTACAAGTGAAGTTTATTTATAAACTAATCTCGAGGATCACATGCTTATGATTGCTTGCAGCTGGTTTCGCATTACTCAATTTATGATTCACCAATCAGACAATTCCTAAACCACTATAAATAACCTGAGTTCCATGTCACAGCCATCTTCGTTTAGAGAATCCCCCTTCCACCCCTACTCCTCCTTTCCTAGAAGGGTGGCACGATTTCCCAGTGGTTAGCACTGTTGCCTCATGACGTTTCTGTGCAGAGTTTACACATTCTCCCGGTGCTCACATGGGTTTTCTTTCCACTGGCTAAAAACATGCAACTTAAGTTACTTGACTAATCCAAATCGGCACCATAGACATACTCCTAGTAAGTAGTCATCTCTTAAGAACAATAACTTTCTGTTCATTAGCTACTACAGAAGAGTTCTCGAGAACTCCCCTTTCGTCTTGCAAATGGGAGCCCTAGGCTCGTTAAGTGTAAACTTTTGAAATAAATGAAATGAAGTAGTAAAGTATGTCATCTTGCCATCTCATCATCACTCCAGTTTACAGCAAACATGGCATTAAGCATTTGCATGTGCTCACTCATTCATTTTCCTTCGGCTTAGTCCCTTTATTCATTAGGGGTCGCAACAGCGGAATGAACAACTAACTTCTCCAGCATTTATTTTAAACTGTGAATGCCCTTCCAACTGCAACCCAGTACTGGGAAACATTTGTTATATAACATAATTTATCTACAATAATTCAAACTCAGAAATATAGGCGTAAGTTATGTGTACTTGCTATGAACATGCAGTATTTGTCTCAATCAGGTCTTCCAAGCAAGTTACAAATGTTTAAATCCAGTGAAAGATGCATATGAGGGAACACAACATGAATAATCTAGAGCGAGTGCATTTGATCATCTGAATTTAAAGCCACAGGCACAAAAAGAGCTTGGTTTTCCTCTGACCGCCAAAATTATATTTTCTTCAAGGTATATAATCTGATTTTGAACTAAAACCTCAGACGCATTCTGAGAACACCAAAGACTTATTTTACATCTTGTAAAAAAAGGCTCATAAAAGGAACTCTTTAAAGGGATACCATTTTACTCTCATGTTTACATGTGGTTTTAAACCTTTGAGTTTCTTGATTCTGTTGAACACAAAAGAAGATATTGTGAAAAAAATTCTGGCTTACTTTGTGTTCCATAAGAAAGGAAATGTTTAAAACCACATGACGCAGAGTAAATGGTAAGCTCATTTTTATATCTGGATGAAACATCCATCTTTTGCTTGTCACTTTGTGTCTTCGTACTAAAGTTAACGTTTTTTTTTTTTGTTTTTTTAAGACCTGATGGTGTTGAAAGAATAAGCTCATGAACAGAATGAAATGGAAGAGAAACTCCAAGAAATAACGACTGATGAAAAACCTACACTAACTAAAAAAACTTCATCACGTGGAAGACCTCGGAAATCCAAATCTGCGTGTAATTTCGGCAGTAAACAGAGTAGAAAGAGTTTTAGTCAAAAGTCAAACCTTGATGTTCACACTAGGGAGAAACCTTACACCTGCGAACAGTGTGGAAAGAGTTTTGGTCACATACAAGGCTTTAAAAACCACATGAGAATTCACACTGGAGAGAAGCCTTTCAGTTGTAAACAGTGTGGAAAGAGTTTCACTCAAAAGGCAAACCTTGATGTTCACATGAGAGTTCACACGAAGGAGAGGCCTTACACCTGCGAACAGTGTGGAAAGAGTTTTACTTATAAACAAGGCTTTACAACCCACATGAGAATTCACACTGGAGAGAGGCCGTACACATGCCAACAGTGTGAAAAAAGCTTCTATCATCCAGGAAACTTTGCGGTGCACATGAGAATTCACACTGGAGAGAGGGCGTATACATGCCAACAGTGTGGAAAAAGCTTCTACCAATCAGGAAATTTTGCAGTGCACATGAGAATTCATACTGGGGAGAGGCCGTACTCTTGCATCCAGTGTGGAAAGAGTTTTAAACAAAATTGCACCCTTGAAGTCCACATGAGAACACACACTGGAGACAGAAGTTTTATTTGCACACACTGTGGGAAACGTTTTTCTCAAAAACATGACCTTAACATCCACATGAGGATTCACACTGGAAAAAAACCTCACACATGCACACAGTGTGGGAAAAGGTTTACTCAAAAAACAAGTCTTGACAACCACATGAGTATTCATACTGGAGAGAAACCTTACAGATGCACAGAGTGTGGGAAAACTTTCCCACATAAAAGCTCACTCAAACACCACATGAGAACTCACACTGGAGAGAAGCCGTTTGCATGTACTCAGTGTGGAAAGCGCTTCACAACCAAAGCTAGCCTCAAGAACCTCATGGATGGTCACACTGGAACCATAGTGTTGACATGTGATCAGTGTGAAAAGAGTCTCACACGCAAAGAATCCATCAGGAAACACATCAGGAAGATTAACACAGGAGAGGACCCTTTTAGATGCAGTGAGTGTGGAAAGGGCTTTAAACGTAAAAGAAGCCTCAACACTCACCTAAAGCTTCACAATGGAGAGCAGAGTCCCCAAAATTGAGGCCTTGTCCACACAAACACGGGTATATTCAAAACAGCAGCTTTTTCATGTAGTTTGGCTGTTCATTCAAGTGAAGTTTATTTATACTACTTTTGAGAGGATCACATGCTTATGATTGTCTACGGCTGGTCCTGCATTAGCCAACACATGATTTACCAATCAGATGATTCCTGACTCACTATAAATAACCAGAGTTTCTTACCAGGACAAGTGTGAACTTTTGAATACATATCAAGTTTTCTGAAGATGAAACCCTTTGAACACCTGCAGGGCTGCAAGAACCCAAAATAACTATATGTTGATAGATTGTATGACTTGTTTCATATGCAAACAAGTATCTGCATCTGAAAAGGTGTGAACCAAATGACCTACAGGAACTCAAGAGTTGTGACCCAACCAAAGAAGTAGGCTGATCTTCGAGGGTTACATCCTTTGTTATAAAGTAATGTCTCACTTTGGGTTAAGTTACCAACGAGTTAACATCGCTGCTGAGGAACTGCACTATTCATTGTCTTCGATAAAGTCTTCTCCCCGTAAGAGTTTTGGTCAGCTTACTTATTTTATGTATTGAAGTCATCTATGTAAAAATTAATTAAGCTGTATTACTCCTCTTCCCATCTACATTGTGCCACCACTCAAGCTAGATTAGCAACACCTGTGTTTTGCCCTATAAAAGTTTGTGTGTAAAAAGCTAGTGTGTTCAGTCTTGAGCCATTTCTGCCCAGTGCTCGCCCGATTCTCTTGAGAAGCTAAGTGACACTTTATTTTTATTGTTGTTGTTGTTGTTGTTGTTTTTTTTACCCTTGTGTCAGATTTGTTTTGCCTGTTCACTGGAAGCTCTGCTTCCGTCATTTCTGTTGTACTTTGTATTCTATTTTTCAAATAAAGATCAGTTGTTTCTGAAGCTAAACGCCTCAAGTTCCCTTTTTAATTTTGTGCTCTTGGGTTCATATGTTGAGGAGTTAGCTCAGCTGGGACAAGCCCCAGCTTTGAGTCCAAGAAACTGGGTTCAATCCTCAAATGAAACCAACACATAACATTCTATACATTGACAAGACATGCAAGAACGGTTAAGCCAAATACAGCAAAATCTAACAATGTGTTTCAACCTATTATGAACCGATAACCATATTTGTGCACATTCCACACTTCCGAATTGTTTATTAATTTACTTATCAAACATCAAATGAGGCATCCAGGGTGATTTTGCGAGCCCTTTTACTCACTCTGGAAGAGTACAGTTCTTGAAGTGTTGGCGGGGAAGTGCCAGTAGCCGCATTTCCACTATCGGGCCAGTGCGAGCCAGGGCTTTTATCGGGCCGGGCCAATCGCCCGGGAGATGAGTAATGAGGCCAAAATTATGTTGCGTTTCCACTGTCGGGCTAGTAGTCGCAGCGCGTCCCCAGAAAGACCCACGAATTAAAAAACAAATTAAAAACCATTAAAATGAAGACAACCGAAACAAACAAATGACACGTTACTGTACAGCAGTACATTATATGTTTATAAGCACAGACCTGTGTATTACCATTTGTAACTGATCTGCTTTTCACTCAATAACTTCAAATGACACCAAGCGCTGCTTTCCTCCACTTTATTTAGTCCTGCAGAAGACAATTTAACACAAACACGTTGTCTTTTGGCTTTACTGCACATTCCACCCCCTCATCAATACAGAGCAGCATTGTGAGGTCGAATGAATTATTTTCTTAATAATTGATGTAATTACATTTGGTAAATTTGACAATTTATACACAATTACACACATAATCTCTTATAATTTTACACTTTGAGAAATTATCAATTTAAAATGTATAGGAAAACACTTTTTTCCTCTACAGTTACAACAAAATGAAAATTTCTTTATCATTAGAAACCAGACTTAACTAGATACAAAAATGTGTAAAAATTACGCACAACAGAGCCACCTGGTGGACAAAGTTCAGCGTTTCTCCCACTGTAGGAGACCTTTCACTAAGTCTCTGTGGCGCAATCGGTTAGTACGTTTTGCTGTTAACTGAAAGGTTGGTGGTTCAAGCCCCCCCAGGGAGGAGTTAAGCATTTTGCTGCCTTGCAACTGCTAACACGTGCACTGGGCATACATCATGAGCCATATTCTGTCCAGCGTTGCAAGATGAAATAAGGATTAAGCAGAAGATTTTCATGGGTAGGGAAGGTATTGATGTAAACGCTAACTAGCTCGTGAACAAAGTTCTTACCAGCCTGGCTAGCTCAGTCGGTAGAGCATGAGACTCTTAATCTCAGGGTCGTGGGTTCGAGCCCCACGTTGGGCGTTTTTGTGACCTTTTTGTCTCTCTTTCAGCAAACTTTCATTTGGGTTCATGTAGCAGACCTTTAGAGACAAAGTTCAGCATTTCTACCACTGTAGGAGACCTTTTACTAAGTCTCTGTGGCGCAATTGGTTAGCGAGTTCGGCTCTTTACTGAAAGGTTTGTGGTTCAAGCCCATCCAGCGATGAGTTAAGCGTTTTGCTGCCTTGCAACTGCTAACATGTGCACTGGGCATAGATCCTGGGCCACATTCTGTCCAGTGTTACAAGATGAAATCAGGATGTGGCAGAAAATTTGTATGGGTAGGGAAGGTATTGATGTAAAGAGTGTCTAGCTCTTGAACAAGGTGCTCACCACCCTGGCTAGCTCAGTTGGTAGGGCATGAGACTCTTAATCTCAAGGTTGTGGCCTTATCCCCCACGTTGGGCGCTTCTGTGACCTTTTTGTCTCTCTTTCAGCAAAATTTCAATCGAGTTTATATAGAAGACCTTTAGAGACAAAGTTCAGCATTTCTGCCACTGTAGGTGACCTTTCAATAAGTCTCTGTGGTGCAATCGGTTTGCACGTTCGGCTGTTAACTGAAAGGCTGGTGGTTCAAGCCCACCCAGAAACGAATTAAGCATTTTTCTGCCTTGCGACTACTAACATGTGACCTAGGCATAGATCCTGGGCCATATTCTGTCCAGCGTTGCAAGATGACATCAGGATTAAGCAGAAAAATTTTCATGGGTAGGGAAGATATTGATGTAAATGGTAACTAGCTCTTGAACAAAGTCCTCAACGACCCTGCTAGCTTAGTCGGTAGAGCATGAGACTCTTAATCTCAGGGTCGTGGGTTCGAGACCCACGTTGGGCGTTTCTGTGACCTTTTGTCTCTCTTTCAGCAAACTTTCATTCGGGTTCATATAGCAGACCTTTAGAGACAAAGTTCAGCCTTTCTACCACTGTAGGTGACCTTTTACTAAGTCTCTGTGGTGCATTTGGTTAGCGTGTTCAGCTGTTACCTGAAAGTTTGGTGGTTCAAGCCCATCCAGTGACGAGTTAAAAATGATCCTGCCTTGCAACTGCTAACATGTGCACTCAGCATAGATCCTGGGCCATATTCTGTCCAGCGTTGCAAGATGAAATCAGGATGTAGCTGAAAATTTGTATGGGTAGGGAAGGTATTGATGTAAATGGTAACTAGCTCTTGAACAAAATCCTCAACAACCCCGCTAGCTTAGTTGGTAGAGCATGAGACTCTTAATCACAGGGTCTTATGTTCAAGCTCCACGTTTATGTGACCTTTTTGACTCTCTTTCAGCAAACTTTAATTTGGGTTCATATAGCAAAGTTCAGCGTTTCTACCACTGTAGGTGACCTTTCACTAAGTCCTTGTGGCGCTACCTGGATCAGGATCGTCTGTCTCAGCCTCTCTCCTCGTCCAATTGTTGCGCTTGCTCTCCATTGTGAGAATGGACGAGAGCCAATCACCGCACTCGCTCTCCATCGTGAGAATGGACTGGAGCCAATCGCCGCTCTCGCTCTTTATTGTCAGAATGGATGAGAGCCAATCGCGTCGCGGCATATGCAAATGAATAACAACACCGCTGTATTCTCATGAGTGCACAGCACAATATAACAGATCAAGGTAAGTTCTTTTTGTCATCATTTAAATCTACTGATAAAAGCTGTTTTGTCGATTGTAGTCTTTTGTTATGTCACAGTCTTGGCCTCCTACACTGATTTATTATTGTATGACAAGAGTTTTAACAAAAGTCACCCTAAGTTCACAGTTTTGTGCATAGTGTTATGCGCATAGGTCACGACCCGCACCCTGTTTAACATTACAGACTTTTGATACGGTTGTAGAAATCATTGATTTGTTCCCACGTGTGTTTAATTTAAAGGGGTGGTCCACTATGATCTCATATTTTAAACTTAAGTCGATGTGTAATGTAGCTGTGTGAACATAAACAACGTCTCTGAATGTAAAAAGTTCTAAGTTCAATGCAAAGGGAGGCCTTGTTTTTTACAGAGTTAGCTTAGCAAATCCTACAATGAACAAATTTTAGGGACTACAAAAAAATACTTCCGCCCCCTGTGACATCACAAGTTCATTTACTGTGCATCCCACACTGCGCATGCAGGTAAAGGCCGTGGCCAGAAGCACTTTAACGTTATAGCGAGATGAAGCTAAAAATGCGTCTAAACACGGCTGTTTCCACAGAGCTTCGTCTGTTTCTGTATTTGGGCTTCCAAAGGACACGACACAAAGAAAAAAGTGCCTAAAGTTCAATATTACTTATCTTCCAGAGAATTATTAAATACTCAGCAAGCATGATTTGACAAAACAGCTCCAGAATCTCTCCCAGTTCAGTGCTGGATTCGGCTAAAATCTCCTCAAAGCAGAAGTTGTAAGCTACAAGTAAGTGTTTTTATTTGTTAAAATTGATCATGACATGTACAGTGTCTAGCATTAACGGTATGCTGTAGCAATGATGTAAACAATGCGAAATGCTGCTTTGCGGGCAAACGATTTAGCTACAAATTCATATCCATCAGCCAAACTGCTGTAACACACACTCACTCCACGAGCACGTTCGTATCTCTTATGTGTGTCCGCACGGGACTGCTGATTGTCTGCACGTTTCCAACTGCCACAGGGCTGCACAAAGTGCTTTACAGAGAGAAAATAAACACATGATGTGAGCATAAAACAGTAAAAATAGCAATAGGCTCATAATAGGAAGGAACTTAGAAAAATTATCAATAAAAGAGCAAAAATAAAAAATAGTTAAAATAATAATAAAATATTTTTTCCTAATTAAAAGATGCTGCCACAGTTGACCAACACTAAACACAATAGAGAACATGACCGTTTTAATCCAGCACATTTGTCAAAGAAGAGATTTGTAATATAAAACCAGTGAATGACTTTGGTAAAGGCAATGTTTCATCCAATTCATTTTAAACATTGTCAAATCAAGAACAGTGAGTCCACCTTTAGAAAAGCTTATTGTTTTTCTTTTGACATATTCTGTCCTGTTTTTCCAGATGAACTGAAATATAGCTCTATTAATCTCTGTACACATTTCGGGATTAGCATATACTGTAAGGAGAGAGCGGAATAGACCAGCCTTGATATTCCTTCAGCTTTGGAAAGTAGAAGACGTCCATGGATAGTCCTCTGAGACCAGCAATTAAACAAAGTTGACTTTCTTTAAACATTTAGAAAAGTTCTGATCCTTTCAGAAGAACATTTATTAATTGTAATACCTCAATATGTGATGGTGTGCCTGACCTTAATTCGACAAACATCTAAGATATCAGAATGAAGAATTGTCAACAGATTTTTCTGATTAACAGAAAGGCCAGAAGCATTCGACAATCATTGTAATGGCTGTGATATTTCAGGGACTTGTTTTTATTATGTATAGAGACACATGCATCATCTGCACTATTTGAATACCTTCAACATTTGAGCAATTGACCACATAAAGATGAAGAAGCTCTGCAACCACCAGAAACAGAAAAGGGGAAACAGGACAACCTTGTCTGATTCCTCTTCCAATGACAAAACGTGGAGAAGCTCCATGAGGCAAAGACACATTACTAGTGAAGTCTTTATACA